GCACTGCTTTCTTGATGGTATGAGGCCCCCCTGTCTCACTGCTCACTTCTGTCTTTTATATCTCAAGACATTGCCTCAAGATACAATCCAATCTTGTAGACTGAGTCCTGCCTCACTAACACAACTGCCGCCCATCCTCCCTCATTAACATCATAGAGGCAGGATTTACAATTTATAGGAAAACCATAGAATACCAGGAATCATGGCCTAGCCAAACTGATACACACATTTTTTGGGGGACATAATTCAAACCATGACAGGGGGCATTGAGTTTATGTTAATGGTGGTGGAATGAAATGGAAAAGGATAGTGAGAATGGTTGCATAACTTGAAAAATGTAATCAATATCACTGAATTGTACATGTAGAAATTGTTGAGATGGCATATATTTAGTTACGTATATTTTCACTACAAAAAAAAATCTATGGAGCACAGTTCTACTCTGACACACATGGAGTCACCATGACTTGGAGTTGACTCAATGACATTTTTTTTTACCTATGCTGAAGAACATTTTGGAGAGAAGGAAGAGGACATGCTTGAAATAAGTGGAAAAGAGTGCAGTGATTGATTAGTGATGTCTGCCATGGGCATGGGAGAGGTATTTGCTCTACTGCGTATAGACTTAACCAGATATGGATGCACCTCCCATTCAGTGGAGGTATCACATGGCAGGTTGGGGGTTTTTGTGGTCTTCTAGATAATTCCAAAGCTCCTATACTGACTCTGGAAGGTGGACAAAGCTGCTGTGGCTGCTATCAGGGCCTTCCAGAGGAATACTCTGGGTATACATTGTTATGAACCCCAGAATTCAGGAGACACCCAGAGAAGCAAAGACCCATTCTTCTCATTGCTTTTAGTTCTTGTCCCAGTGTCTATGGGAGGGAAGGGAATAAAAATGCAGAGATGAGTAAGCAGCGTTATTCATGGAGATGGTCACCTTTTGTGTGTTTATGCCTCTTATACTAGGAGAGTAAACAAGTTCCATATTGTAGGTCAATTGCAATCAAATGACCATGGCTCCCTGGAAAGCTGTTCTGAGGAGGAATGGGAGGTTTCAGCTTGATTCAAAGAAAAGTGTTATGATTGATTAGTGATGTCTGCCATGAGCATAAGACTGTGAATGGTGGTGGGAATTCAGTGCATCTGGGTATTTCTTTCACCAAAAGTTGGAACATGGTGCTAATCTTGACCATGAGGCTGGAACCACATTTTAGATCCCTGTATTCCTGGTGCCTGGCACATATTAGGTGCTCACAAAATCTTGGTCAAACCAGTAAATGAATCTATATAAGTAAACTCTATATAAGTAAATCTATATAAGTAAAATCTATATAAGTAATCTATATAAGTAAAGCTCTTTGAAACAGACCAGTTACCATTGAATCAACTTCGACTCATAGCACCTCCATATGTGTCAGGGTAGAATTGTGCTCCATAGGGTTTTCAATGGCTGATTTTGGGGGAGTAAATCACCAGGGCTTTCTTCCAAGGCACCTCCAGGTGGACTCAAACCTCTAACCTTTCAATTAGCAGCTGAGCATGTTAACCACCCAGGGACTTGTTACTGACCCCACTCTACAGATGAGGACATTGAGGCTCAGAGAAGTTCATTGACATGACTGGAGTCACATAGCTTCTTAAAGAAAGAGAATGAGAAGTGAAGTCTTCTGACTCCTGGGACAGTTTTCTAATTCTCTTAGTGGAGGTAACAAGGGCCCATGGGGTGGGAATAGATAATGCCAGGACCACCTAGAATGATACATACATTCAGGTTCCTGAATCATAGTCTCTGGAGGTGGGGTCTGGAGACCAAAGAACAGGAAGGTTAAGGGACGTAGCCAAGGCTGCCCAATTAGTAACCAGTGGGGCCAAGATTTGAACCAAGGCTCTGCTATGTGGTGGCAGCAATTGAGTAATTACAAACATGATGAATGCCACAAAGGAGCTAGGAGGCCCAATGGCAGTGTGCATCCATGGCGTGTATCCATTGTCATACTGAAAAGTCAGACAAGAACACGTTTCTCAGTGTTTGGCACTAGGCGGACTGCAAAGCTAGTGTTTGCCCCTCTTCCTTGCCTTTCATCCATAGTCTGAGCATTTGCAGCTGTGACCCAAATCCAGGGCTTGGTTGATTTTTCAAAGGCCTAAAAATAGAAGCTTCTGTTCCTCACCAAGCAATTCTAGAAGCCGTTTCCCTCCCCCCTTCTTCTCGCAGACACCCGTGAGAGCTCCTTCCCCCAAACAAAAGCATGATGAAATCCTGGGAAAAGCCATTGCTTGCTTCTCATAATAACTTCCTGCAGACAATGGGGGTGCTTTGCTCTCCCCAGAAGCACATAGGAGCCGCAAATTAATTATCAGACATAATTAGCTCTCTTCTCAAAATCTGTGCAGTGGGCACTTTGAAGCAAGAATAGTAATAGGGGGCTTTTGGATTGCTACCTTACTAATGAGGGTTTATAGGAGGAAAATAGAATTGTTGCAGAGGAAGATTCTGTGATAATAAGCTGTGTGTGTGATATTAGAATGTCTGAAGCATTTTCTGGAACGCGGAGCATGGTAACGTTCACTGGGGATTTGCAATGTGATTTAAAGTACGCAACAACAATTATTTTTATTTTTAGAGTAAAGAATTTATTTTAGCATGTATTACAAAAATAGACATTACGAATTTGCCAAGCCCATAGATTTACACATATTCTTAGGATAAGGCTGAGTGTATTAGTTACCTGTTACTGTGTGACAAAATTAGCAATAAACATTTATTATCTCGCAGTTTCTCTGGGTCAGGAATTCAGGAGCAGCATTAGCTGGGTGATTCTAACTCAGGGCTTTCTATGAGGATGCAGTTAAGATGTCAGCCAGGGTTGCAGTCTTATCTGACGGCTTGACTGGGGCTAGAGGATCCACTTCCAAGATGGCTTACTAATGCGGCTGTTGGCTGGAGGCCCCAGCTCCTCTCCACTTGGATCTCTCCAGGGGATTGCTTGAGTGTCCTCACAATACGGCAGCTGCCTCCTCCTGAGCAAGTGATCCAAAAAAGAGGAAGGTGGAAGCCACAATGCATTTTATGACCTAGCCTCAGAAGTTACACACCTTCACTTCCACAACAGCCTATTGATCACAGAGATCCGCCCTGTTTAGTGTGGGAGGGGACTACACAATGGTGTGAATTTCCAGAGGTGAGAACATTGGAGGCCATCTTGGAAGCTGGCTACCACAGTGAGGCAGACATAATTATGCCCTTACAATAGATGAGGAAACTCAGACATAGAAAGGAGAAGGGATTTTCCCAAGGTCACATTGCTAGTAAGTGGCAGAGCTAGGATTCTGCCTGACTCTAAATCTTAAACTGGTTTTATCAAGCTAGGAGAATGTTTGATAAGTTTACTGGTCCACAGGAAGAGGTAATTATAAAATCTCACTATAGAAGAGTTCTTTAGTTTAAGGGATTTGGGAAGTGTGTTACTTGTTTCTGGAGACATTTTCTTCTATTCGCCCTTTCCCCTGACATTTATAAAGGGAAATCCAATGCAAAAGGCCACCTCCCCAAGTAAGAATGATGTTTTTGTTTTAAAGAGGTGTCAAGAAACGACTCCTGCTCAGATTTGCCCGAGATCCAGAATGGCTGGAAAACCACTTCTCACACGGAGCTTGTGAGGGGAGCCAGAATCACCTACCAGTGTGACCCCGGCTATGACATCGTGGGGAGCGACACCCTCACCTGCCAGTGGGACCTCAGCTGGAGCAGTGACCCCCCATTTTGTGAGAAAAGTAAGAATAGACTGTTTTCTTCCTTTAGGTTAGTGTGGGGTAAATCTCTCGCATGTGGTATTTTCTGCATGAATGCAGTAGAGTTTGTTTAATGCAGAATCTGGCCTCCCACTTACCACATCAACAAATTTGTGTTGCTTAGAAATGTCATTTTGTAGCCCTAGAGCAGAGATCTCAAACTCAGATGACTTCAGAAGCCTGGTAGATAATGTAAATGAGTGGAATAGGCTGAGTGTGAGACAATAGAGAGTGGTGTGGACTGCGGCGAATGGGAATGTACGTAGCCTGTGGAAAAACATCATTCAGATTCAGGTTTTCAAAACACCTGTAGTAGCCAAGCAAAGCAAGTCTAAGATGGCACTTGGAGCCCAGTTCTTAACCCCTATAATGGATAACTGACTTCATCCAGAGAATATTCATCCCACTTCCCTGAAGAAGCAGCCATTCCACTTCCCTGGTTCCTTCTCCTGCCTGCTCACCTGCTCCTGTGGTCCCCAGGAGTGCAGACTAGGCACGGATGGTGATACTGAGTCTGGGCATCTTGAAAAGGGGTGGTAAAAGGAAGTGCTTCTACACTGGTTTCTACACTAATGTTGTATGAGCAGGAGGAAGAGCTAACCCTGGAAGTAGCTCTTCTCCCAGCCATGTGCTTCCCATGCCCTAAATAAAGCTCTAGTCCCCAGCCCTCTTGCTGAGAATCCTTAGTGAAACCTTGGTAAACCCCTTCAGCATAACTTGAATCACCAGTTGCACAATAAGAAATATTAAGTGTGAGCAGGGAAAGGGGGTATCAGAGAAGGAGTGTGGGGGCTACATGCAATTCCTATCGTAAATTTTCTGACATCAAAGAAAAATAATTATAATTGTGAGAAACTTGAAAGAACATGCCAAAGATCCACCAAATTAGCTACATAAACAGTTCTATTTGTTCTGCAACAGGATGTGTTGTTTTGTGTGTCCATGACCGAAAATAAAATAAAAACAGAATGAGGTGTGCCATGTGGTGGTCATAAGAGAAACCCACCACCAACTCCTTAATGTGGTCTGTATCATCATTTTTTTAAAACATTTTAAAGGCTAGGAGGAGATATAAAGTTGTTCTCTATGGAAAGGTCTTCTCATCTGCCTCAATTTTTTCCAAGAAAAGGCTCAAATTAGAACACATAAATTTGTATTTGGCCCCTTTTGCGTATAAGCGTTTATGTTCCCATGTTGGATGGCTCACTCATTCTTATCCAAGATGGCACCCCCCACACTGCCTTGGTTGCTTTCTCTTCTAGTAGAATGAGGTGAGCAGATCAGCATGGAACAATCGGCTCTTTCCCTAGTGGCTTCTGGATGTTGTAAATGCCTTTCATTGGCTGAACTACATTCTTGACATTAAAAAAGATACGTATAACCCCATCTTTAAATTACCAAAGTAACAAATGCTTACTTATAGTACCCCCTCAAAAAAATCAAACTCATAGGTGTGGAGTCAATTCTGACTCATGGCGACCCCAGGTGTTACAAAGTAGAACTGCTCCATAGAGTTTTCTTGGCTGTCATCTTTATGGAAGCAGGTCGCCAGGCCTTTCTTCCACAGTGCACTGGGTGGGTTCAAACGGCCAACCTTTCAATTAGCAGGTGAGCACAAATCGTTTGCACCACCCAGGGACCTTATAGTACCCAAGAAGTAATAAAGTAATAAAATTATGAAGTAGAAAGTGATAATACTTTATGATCTCCAAAAATGATAAAGTTTATCCTATATTGTCCTAGTGCTTGTGGGTTTGCATGCGTGTGTATATATACATATATTGCATATTACATATATGCATATATCCGTATGTGTGTGAATGTGTGCATCTATATACACATATGCAGATACATATAGAAATATCTGTGAGGCTATTTTACCATTGTTGTTAGGTGCCATCAAGTTGGCACCCGACTCAGGTGACCCCATGCACAACGGGATCAGACCATTGTGATTCACAGGGTTTTAGGGATCAAATTAAACAAACTGCCCTGTGATTGTCTTTTTTCCACTCAAAAGTATGGATATCTTTTCGTCTCACACGCATTGTCTGCTTCATTCTTTTTTAATTGGTTTATTGCTTTCCTTTTATCTGTATTTTTTTTTTTAATTAAAAAAATAATAGATACTTGTTTTTACAAAGACAGCAGTGAAGGCTCCATCCCATTTGTTCTTTTAAATGGCCACTCAGGCTTGCATGCCGTGGCTGTTCCATGATAATTAACTCCTCCCCCGTTAATGGATTTGTATTGCTTCCCTTTTTGGCGTTACAAATAACAGTGTGTGATGTACAAGCTTGTACATGTGTCCTTGGGCCCCACTGCAAACGTTTCTTTCAGTAAATTCCTAGAACTAGGGAAACTAAATTCCTCTACTTGCTCCTGGCCTATTCTCCAGTCACATTTGATGAGCAACAGTTGCGTTATCCTCCAAAAGAGAAAAGAACCAACTAGTAAACTTTCTAGATAATTCTGAATTCTCAGCAAATCATGTCAAAATGTCATCCTAGAATCCCAGAGTCTGGGATTGCTCCTTATCAAACCTTTTCTTTTTTTTGTGTAGAACAAAATTCTAACTTCCAAAAAAGACCAGACTTACTGGCCTGACAAAGACTAGAGAAACCCCGAGAGTACAGCCCTGGACACCCTTTTAGTTCAGTAGTGAAGTCACTCCTGAGGTTCACCCTTCAGCCAAAGATTAGACAGCTCCATAAAACAAAACAAGGCTAAGGGGCACAGCGGCCCAGGGACAAGGACTAGAAGGCAGGAGGGGACAGGAAAACCCCTAATAGGAAACCCAAGGTTGAGAAGGGACAGTGTTGACATGTAGTGGGGTTGTTAACCATTGTCATAAAACAATATGTGTATTAACTGTTTAATAAGAAACTATTTGTTCTGTATACCTTCATCTAAACTACAATTTGAAAAAAAGAAAAGAACCCTCTTTTCTTCTTCTCTGACTTGCGTTTTCTGATAATCAAGAGCTCTAAAGCCCACTTGGTCTGTATTTCGTCCTCTGTAGTTATGTACTGCACCGACCCCGGAGAGGTGGACCACTCGACCCGCTTGATTTCCGATCCTGTGCTGCTGGTGGGCACCACCATCCAATACACCTGCAATCCTGGCTTTGTACTTGAAGGGAGTTCTCTTCTGACCTGCTACAGCCGGGAAACTGGCACCCCCATCTGGACGTCTCGTCTGCCCCACTGTGTCTGTGAGTCCTGTTGATTGACTGGAGGCCCCGACTACCTACCCTCGAGTTCACTTCCTCTTATTCTCCGCTGAGGGCTGGGCTGCTCAGAGGAGGCACTCCACCCTTTGGGAGCTTTTATTATGACTACTGCTATACAACAATGGCTAACACTTATTGAAGGCACTCATACTATAAAATTTACGGTAAATTTAGCATCCATAGCGCTGAGTCCTTTATCAAATTCCCTCTTTTCTTTCTCAAGTAGCCCTGTGAAAATGGTACTTGTTGTTGTTGAGTCCACCAGAGGTGCCTTGGAAGAAAGGCCTGGTAATCTACTTCTGAAAAAATCAGCCATTGAAAACCCTATGGAGCACAGTTTTATTCTGACACACATGGGATCACTATATATATATGAAACCGAGGCTCAAAACATTCCTTCATGTACAAAGCTAGGATTCAAACTTAGGATTCCAGTCTCCGAGTCTAGTACCCCTTCCGTGAGCCATGCCGTAGCTGGCAGGGTACAAGCTCATGCAGGGAAGAAAAAAAAACCCATTGCCTTTGAGTCGATTCCAACACATAGAGACCCTATAGGTCAGAGTGAAAGTGCCCCATAGGGTTTCCAAGGCTGTAATCTTTACGGAAGCAGACTGCCACATCTTTCTCCCATGGAGCAGCTGGTGGATTCTGCCCACTTTTTGGTTAGCAGCCGGGTGCTTAATCGCTATGCCACCAGGGCTCGTTCCCATGCGGGGAGCTTCCACTTACCAATCCACTTAAAGGTAGTGGATTGTCAGCCCTCCCCGCCAGCCCCTAGACCTCTGGGCCAAGTTCACCCTGGTTGGTTCCCATTTTCTTATGGACTGTGAGAGTGATCAAAAGCAGCTGGAGTAACTCCCGCTGCAGAGACGCAGAGAAGAAAAGCTAAAAATAAAAGCATATTTAAAATTACTGCAAGGTGGAGATAGCATTAAGAAAGAGACGGCTCTTCACTAATGAGACGCGGGCCCAAAGACCCTCTGGGCCACGTGTCTGCTGGTTTTCAGAGAAGCGAGCTTCCCTCCTCCCTCTGGGGTGCCTGTCCCTGGAATCTCAGCACTGGATCTGCAGTGCCACGGCTTCCCTGACACCCATGCTAATGAGTTCACGAGCGAAGCGGGGTGTCAGGAGACAGGCAGCGTCTGAGAAGGCTGAAGAAGAACACGGCATGTGGTCCCAGTGACACTGCAGGCAGGCGGGGGGTGGAGAAGGGGGAGATGACATATGGGGCAAGGGGATGGTCAAGTTCTAGCAGTGAGGCAGCTGGCGGGAGAGGGAAAGTATAGTCTGGGATCCAAGGGGATTTTTAAAGATGAGGTCGTTGGACATAACACAGCTTTAAAATACTTTATCTACTGAGTAAAGCCACCGTCTGTCAGTTTGTCGTACTGTGGTGGCTTGGGTGTTACTGTGATGCTGGAAGCTGTGCCACTGGTATTTTGCATACCAGCAGGGTCACCAATGATAGACAGGTTTCAGTGGAGCCTCCAGATTAAGACAGACTAGGAAGAAAGTCCCGGCGATCTACTTCTGAAAATTAGCCAATGAAAACCTATGAGACACCGCAGTACATTGTCTGACTTGCTTGCTTTGGACACGTCATTAAGAGAGTCAATCGCTGGAGGAGGACATCATGTTTGGTGAAGTAGAGGGCCAGTAAGGCGAGGGAAACCCTCGGTGATATGGGTTGGCACAGTAACTGCAACAAGGGACTCAGATATCCGGATTGTGAGGTTGGCACAGGACCAGGCAATATTTCATTCTGTTGTACGTGAGATCACCATGAGTCAGAGACAACTCGATGACAGCTAACACTAACAGCAATGAGTAAGAGAATAGCTCCGATTTAATGAACGTCTTCAAATGTGTGCCAAGCCCTTCTCCAACATTAACACATTTATCTCTAACAAAACTCTACTTGGGTGGTGCGCGTATCCACTTAAAGGTAGGCAAAGGGGCCCAGAGATGGTGAGTAGCTTTCCTCAGGTCACCCAGCAAGGAATGGGAGAAACCAGGAATCCAACCCAAGCCTGACTCACCCTGAAATCCTCATCTTCCCGCCTCCCCACTCTGCAGTCCCAGCTTCTGAGCAAAGAGTGCTTGACGACAGACAAAGATCTCCCACCAATGAGCTCAAGAAGCAGACAGCACAGTTTCAACATTAGACTGTACTACAGAAAAGCAGAAAAGCTCTGGTTTTCTATGGCTTCTGCTCACAGTCACTTGCCCAAGATTATCACTTGGTTCAGCTGGGACTCAAAGCCATGTCTTCTCACTGCTGACCCATGTTCCCAGGACAATTCAAGAACAGACAGGAGCCACATAGGGAGAGTGAAGAGTCTGGGATTCATGGCTCTGCTGGGTGACCTTGGGCAAATAACTTGCCCTCTCTGGGCCTCCAAGCCCTCATCTGTGAAAAGGAATAATATTCCCCACCAGCTAGGCTTGTTGGGAGCAGCTGATTCAGTCATTCAACTAATACCTCCTATATGCGGGCACCTCTTGGCCAGAGGTTCCCAAACTTTCTCAACTCATGGTACCATTAGTGTGTTAGGGATGTTTTCACCCCTCCCTTAGGCCCAAATACCTAACAGCTCCATTCATTAAGCAGCTAGGGCCAAAGAACTTTAAGTAATTATATCCTGACAACTTAGTCGCTATTTGAAAATACGTTGCTGTTGTTATTAGGTGCCATCCAGTGAATTCCAATTCATAGCAACCCTATAGGACAGAGTAGAACTGCCCCATAGGGTTTTCTAGGTTGTAATCTTTACGGGAGCAGATTGGCAGGTCTTTTCTCCCATGGAGCAGCTGGCGGGCTCAAACCACAGAGCTTTCAGCTAACAGCCAAGCGCTTAACCACACTGCGTCATCAGGGCTCCCTGTTTGAAAATATAACGAACATAAACTAAAAGAAAAAAGAAATGTTATTTTTCTTTCACTCTTAAATAACCAGCAGTGAAAACCAGTTACCATCAAATCATTTCTGACTCATGGCGACCTCATGTGTGTCAGAGTAGAACTGCGCTCCGTAGGGTTGTCAGTGGCTAATTTTTTCAGAAGTAGGTCACCAGGCCTTTCTTCGGAGCTGCCTCTGACCTTTCAGTTAACAGCCAAGCATGTTAACTATTTAGACCACCCAGGGACTCCTTAATAGTTATTACTAAGGTATGTGTGTGCCTGTGGGACTCTGTAAAACATCTCAGATGTTGGGTTCAGATGGGATACCACCACTCTGCCTTCTTTCTCCACACTGGTTTTGTCGTAGTTCTCGATTTTTATCACAGAAGCCCCCGAAAACCCCGCTTTGCAAAACTGTGACATCATCGGAAAAAATGTAGTACAAGCTAACGTTGAAATTGTGAGCTGCCTCAAGCTAGCACTTCACACGGGCCCGACAGACATCACGGTGTTTCCCCAAAATTTTAAATCTTCCCAAAACAGCCATGTGAGTTCACGGTGGCACCCTGGGGTGCCTCAGTGCACAGTTTGGGAACCGTGGTGTTAGGCCCTGGGGACACCAGAAACCAGTTGCCATCAAGTCATGACCCACAGAGTAGAACTCTGCTCCATAGGTTTTCAAGGCTGCGGTCTTCCAGAAGCAGATCACCCGGCTTTTCTTCTAAGGCACCTCTGGGTAGATTTGAACAACCAACCTTTCAATTAGTAGTGAGAGCTTAACTGTTTTTACCACCCAGGGACTCCCCTGGAGTCACAGTAATGTACAAACAGACATGATCCATCCAGGGATCTACTAGGGATGAAGGGGGAGGAGAGCCAGCTCTATAAAGGAGATAATAATGAATCCTCGGCATCACCTCCTCCAGGAAGCTCTCTCTGACTCCCTGGGTTGGCCTTGTTTCTCTCCTCTGAGCTCCCATGGGCACCTACAGTTATACCTATCATAGTACTTGCTGCAGCTTATTGAAATGATGCGTTTCTATGTTCATAGAACCACACACATAACACACTTGCTGGGATTGTATCCAATCTGCCCTTGGATCCCCAGGCCCTGCAGGCTCAACAAACAGCGGTATCTGTTACTATTACTGCCATTGGTATCGTTAGCAATACTAATGTGGTCTTTATTGCTATTACCATTGCACCTCTCGGCTTCCTTGCAATTTCCCTCTTTGGTGGGGCATAGTAGATGACTCCTGAGGTTTCCAGCCACAAGACACAGACTATACCGCCAAAAGTGATGAGCAGGACCTGACAAAATTCAGCCAGGGTTTTCTAGGTGGTTCTCCAGGGAGGCACTTAGCTTGCCAAGAGACAGCAATTTCCCAGGAGGTCCTGGCCCTGCACAGCCCTACCCCTAGAACACCTCTGATATGAGACCTAGGATGTCTCAGGCTGGGCATAGCCCACAGGTGCTGCGGGCAGACTGTGGTCTGGGAACAGCTTCCACTGATGAGCTCTCTCCGGTGGCCTGGCTTCAGCCAACATGCAGGATGCCTAGCTTCACTGAGAAATTCCTGTCTCTGAAACAGCAGCATCTCTGAGAAATTCATGATAACCTCAGGGAAGGTGGGCACAAGAACGGCCCTTCATCACAGCAAAACCCTTCAATCTAGGGGACAAGGAGTCTAGCAGATCTAGGTTGGTGTCCCAGCTGTGTGACTTCCGACAAGCTGGTTTCCTAACCAAAAACAGAGAAAGATCATCGTGCTGGCCACAAATATTAAAGCTCATAATGGCATGCCTGTCTGTTGCTGTCCAGTCGATTCTGACTCATGGAGATCCCGTGTTACAGAGTAGAACTGCCCCCATAGGATTTTCTTGGCTGTGATCTTCAAGGATTACCTGTTTGATTGACTGTGCAAAGGCATTCAACTGTGTAGATTATGACAAATTATGGATAACATTTTGAAGAATGAGAATTCCAGAACACTTCATTGTGCTCATGAGGAACCTGTACATAGACGAAGAGGCAGTCGTTCAAACAGAACAAGGGGATACTGCGTGGTTTAAAGTCAGGA